CTGGAGGTGTTTGCAAGTTATTTGATTTGGATTTGGAAATCATATTTGGTAATAGTTGAATTAGACACAGAAAATGAAGCATTTAATGAGTCGTTCACACATGCTGATCCCTGTGCTTTCTTTCGATGAGCAGAACATGAATAAGGAAGCAAGTGGCCCTGTTAGGGATAGTTTCATGAAAATGCAAACTTGTTGCGGGCTGGGATCATATCTTCTTCCCCCATGGAGTCCCCATTACGTAAAATGGTGATCTTTATGAAATACGTATTGACCTGTGGCTAGGTTTTGGTGTCGCTTTATTTCTGTGACCATTGTAGGTCCTCTTGTCCACATAGTTCTTCTAGAAAAATCCGTATCTTATTTCGAATCCTATTTTCAGGCTACGTACTATTGAATGTCTTTCTATCCAGCCAGTTTTGACTGGACCCTGTAGAAGCCACTATCTCTTTGTCCTGGGTTTAGTCTGTGTTCTGCATATCCTCTTGCTGCAAACTCCAGATCCTTCCACTGTGGCTCACATGTGTTCCTGACCCATTATGCTTCCGCGGAAGAACAGAAGTAGGGCGGGCAGGTGATGGAGTTGTTGCTCTGAGGTTATGGTGGGTAACAAAACCACCTTGAAGATCATCTTGCCACCTTGGCATCTTTATTTTCCTCTCCAATTACTTTATTTACATCTTAGCTTCATGGTTCAACATGGCAGGCTTGTATGGGATCTGATTTTCAGAACTGAAAGCAAGTGCAGAGATCAATGTGCAATGAGCTGTAATATTTGACAAAAGACTATTGATAGATTGTAACCTTGCTCCCCTAGGAGATAAGACCAGAATATAAATATATGCAAATAATATACTAGTTGGCTGATGGCTGGCATTGAGTGAATCTTGGTGGGGATTGACAGGGGTGTGTGTGTGTGTGTGTGTGTGTGTATGTGTGTGTATGTGGTAAGCCCATGCACAAAGTGGACGTTGTACCTCTAGGTAACACATTTCCTGGGCTACCTCATGGCCGAGCTCTATCTTGTAGGACAAAAGATGAGCTGCACCCCACTCAGGCACTGGAAAATGTTGGTGTCCTCCCCAGAAACAAAAGGGAAGGACCCCAGCAATGTCTACAGGTTGCATGCAGTTTGAAGAATGGCTGTCATAGGCTTTCGTAGTAAACAGTATAGGAAGATGATTGTACCAGCTCATAAATTTGGGCAAGGACCAGAGTCTGCGGTTCTTACTCCTGATGCTTCATAAACATCAGATGAAAGTGAGTCTTCATAGTCCCTCTTGGCAGCAGATCTGTCTGTGAGTCTCAGGCCTTCCATGTAGCTGAGAGCAGCACGGACCAGGGCTCCTTCCAGCTCATTCATCCTCTCTCCCTTTTTGGGGGGGCAGGAGGTTGGGTTTTTGAAGATGCATCCACAGAGTTCTCTGTCCTCTAATGTATTTTTCACGGCCTGGAAAGGAAAGGCCTTGAATGCCGGGGAGACATGATTTTATTCCTTGTTGGTTCAAAATAGCAAAATATGTTTGGTCTGGGCTCATCTTAATGAGACACATATTTTAACATGAAAACCAATCTCCGTTTGAGGGATGGACACTTTGGGGAGAAATGCATTGTGACTTTTATTTTGACCCATTTGTATTCTGATATGCTTGCATAGTTTGAGCCTTGTCTTAATTACAATCTCAGGCAGGATGTCTGCCCTGTAGAGAATCATCCTAAAATACCCAGCCAAGGTATAAATCACGTCAAACGCCAGTCTGAAATATTCCTCTTTGTGCAACCTTTGCAGAGAAAGCATGCTAGAAAGCCCTTCTTCGCTTTCATATCGTATGTATTCAATGAAACTATGATTTTTACTTTTTTTTTCATTAAAATTTTTTATTCAGCTAATTCCTTTTCTAGTGTGCCTTTTTTATTTTGGGAAAAACAAAAAAACAATATATGAAACAGATATATGTATATAAGTATATGTAATATATACTATATACTAAATCTATATGTTTATATGCATATATAACCATATTTCACCGCTTGAGAAATACTTTGCAGTGTGTGAGGTTTGCATGGGAGGTCTTTTATTTTTTTTGTCCCCAGATGTATTGGTTGATTAAATGTATAGGGTTTTTTTTTTTTAATGATCATGAGGCATATTTAATAGATTTATTTTAAAATTCTTTATGACTTGTAATGTTAAAACTTTTAAAGTTGACTAATACTTGAATGTATGACATATGCACACATATCATATTCTTTACTTGTACCCACGGATACTTAATCATTTACATGGCCACCAGAATTCCAAATTGGATGACTCAGACCTCTGGCTCTCACTCTGGGGGGATGCTGCCCCAGGGCTCATTTAGCAATGTTTGGAGATATTTTTGATGGTGAAAATTGGGTGGGGAGGTGTTACTGGCATCTACTAGCTGAAGACCAGGGAGGCTGCCCCACCCCCTACAGGGCACAGGACGGCACCCGCCGGGAAGAACTATATGGTCCACGATGTCAACAGTGCCGAGGTTCAGAAACCATGGGTTTCAGATTGTATGACTTGTATGCAAATTAGCCAAATTTCAAAAAAGCGAGGAGATAAATAAGATAGCCCTGAATGTATGTACATTACGTAGAAAGTGCTCACATCCCCCTGGGTACCTTCTTCTAGATTCTGCTGGTCCATGATCTCTCTCTGGCCCTCAAAACTCTCTTGGGGGGCAGGGGAGGTAGATTTGGGCAGAGAGACTTGATCCTTGGACTCAGCATGAAGTCTAGACCTGACCCTACTTATTAATGCATATGTGGCTCGTAGATAGTCTCATCCGCATTGAGTTGGAGAAGTGTGGAGTGGGCCAGAATTTCCCAATGGAACTAACTTTGTAAGTGCTGATGTAAACCCACCGAGTCCCACCTCTACTGAGCTCTGCATTCCAGGGACTATGCGCTGCCTCGATCTCATTTCATTCTCAGACAGTGATAAACACATCAGGAAAGGGAGGCTCAAAGAATTTAAAGTCCTTGCTCTACACTTGCTCAGCACCAACCCTGGGCTGACTTCAGAGCCTGTGTATTTTGTCTCTGTACACAGGATTCTTTCGAGCACACCCCTGGGCAAAATCCTAGCATTTTGTGTTTATTGAGTGGGCATTTTCTCTGCCCTACACCTTTGCATAGTGCCTCATTCCTGCTCACCAGACCCCATGAAGAAGGTACGACAGAGCATTTACCTAAATCCCAGGCAGCTCAGCTCACGTTCCTCAGCTCACAGACTTAGCATTCGAGGACCCAAGTCCGCCAGAGTCACAAATTAATGGTGTCTCCTTTTATCGCCAGGAAGGCTCCAGAAGGAGCAGCTAATACTGATTCAACATCAAAAGGGCTTTCGGGAAAACAAAAGAGTCCAAACATGTCATCACCTCTTTCTTGTTCTTGTCTGCCTCCTAATTATTCAGAAATTGGATCACGGTGTGACAGAAATCCAAATGTTGTCCACGGCAGAATTCAAAGATAGAAGCAAACACATACATCCACCGTTTGGTGTGATGCTATTTTTCACTTTCAATGGTACAACCCAGACTCGGAGTGCATTTTCATTCAGCTCTGATGAACTTGGCCCAGGGTGTCCTTGACTATGGAATTTCCTCTGGAGGTGGTGTAGCTCCATGACAGATCCAGCTCTGGTAGCTTTCCCTAAAAAAAAAAAAAAAAAATAGAGCTTATTGACATATTAGTCAATAAGTGCTCAACCGTCCACTTAAATGCATCATTATCCTCTAGTCCAGAAATACTCTGAATCACCCATGACATCTTTCTAGGCACGTGTGTCTTGTTTTTGAGTTGAAGAACGCTCTATTTAAAGCTATACTGCTTCCAACATGTAATGTAATGTTTTCTTTCCCTAATGGGTCATTTACAGTCCTCTCCCAGTCAGGCCCAACATTCTTTACTGTCATAAGGGGAATGATTTATCTAGTGAGAGTCATAGGTTCTACATCTAGACAACTCTGGGAGATCCCACTCAACGGAGGGTAGCTCAAATGTACCATCAGCTTTTAAAATGGGGTGCTTGGGGCACCCACCTTGGGTGGCTCCGTCGGTTAAGCGTCTACCTTCAGCTCAGGTCATGATCTCGGAGTCCTGGGATCGAGCCCTGCATCGGGCTCCCAGCTCAGCGGGGAGCCTGCCTCTCTCTCTCAAATAAATAAATAAAATGTTTAAAAAATTTGAAATGGGCCACACAAACAAACAAAAATAAATAAAATGGGCTGTGAGGTGAAAGGTTTGCCGTGGATGGCTGTATGTGAAAATCAGGATGGCCGTATGGACGCTTTTACTTATGATTGATGTTCTGGTGGCACATAATACAGCCGATATGTGAATTGTTCCGTCTTGCTCTGTTTTTACGAGGAGCAGAGTTCCAGGGTGATGATGTGTGTAGCCTCATGGCATACGCCAGGGAATAGCTCAAGAAGGGTTAGAATCCAGAGCCTATGCTCTTTCCGTTAGGTCATGCTCCGTTTGCGTATCTGATAAATATCCGCATGACATAAAGCCCTGTCCCACATTTCTCCTACTCTGATACCAAAAACCGTTGATAGGCTCCGTGCATATCCCCTTAGGCAGAAGTGGCAGTTTCCTTAGACATTTGAGAAACACTGTTTTGGGGCTACCTATCTACTGACCGACCAGTCTTTGTAAATAGTGAAATTGGGAGACATCGTTACAGTCTTCTGAACGAGATGTGTAACTTCTGGGGATTTGTGTGTTGATTCAACGGAGACTTGTTGAATGTTTTCTAAATGCCGTGCATCGTTCCAGATCATGGGGTGCCCAGCAAGAATTAAGGCAAGTCATGTTCTTGCTAGATTCTTCTCCGTTGAGATGTGAGTGGACAGATTCATCGGTGAATGAGCATTTCATCGAGTGACGTTGAGTGTTGCAGGGAAGACCTGTGGGTTGCTCGGCTTCCCTTGGCTTCATTATTCTCTTCTGCTTTCTTTCCCCATTAGGCGGACTGCTCTGCCTTGGAGTTTTCCTAAGGAATCCTTGTCCTTGGGAGGTGTCGGATGGTCACTGCGTCCTTGGAGCCTCACACCTGCTGGAATTCCCTTCCAGGATTAAGAGAGGGCTGCTCTCTCCCGCAATGGGCTGCCGAGAAGACAGCTGGGTGTGTCCTTAACCGCGGGCTCTGTCTATGACCCATCTCAGAGGCTCCTCTCCTGGGCCTTCTGCTCCCTGGAAAGCCCTCTCTGTCTGCAGGCTCGCTTCCCAGCTTTGCTTGCTTGGAGTTGCATCACACAGACCCCCACGGATGTGGCAGTGAACAATGTCGAGACCCAAGGGACTGTTATGGCTGCCACTGTTCTTCACCCCGGTCTGCGTCATGTTGAACTCCAACGTTCTCCTGTGGATAACCGCTCTTGCCATTCGCTTCACGCTCATTGACAGCCAAGCACAGTATCCAGTCGTCAACACAAATTATGGCAAAATCCGGGGCCTAAGAACACCATTGCCCAATGAGATTTTGGGTCCCGTGGAGCAATACTTGGGGGTTCCCTATGCCTCGCCTCCCACTGGAGAGAGGCGGTTTCAGCCCCCAGAACCCCCATCCTCATGGACTGGAGTTCGAAATGCCACCCAGTTCGCTGCTGTGTGTCCCCAACACCTAGATGAGAGGTCTTTATTGCACGATATGCTGCCCATCTGGTTTACTGCCAATTTGGATACTTTAATGACCTATGTTCAAGATCAAAACGAAGACTGCCTTTACCTAAATATCTACGTGCCCACCGAAGATGGTAAGTACTTTACTGAAAACAGGAAACAGCACCTGCTCACTCGGGTGTCAGGTTGGCCAAGAGGCGTTTAGAATATCTTGTGCATGATTTTTTTTTCTATAACCCAGTTATTTTCTTTCTCATATTCTGAATGTAGCTATTGCCCTACCTTATAAATCATGACACTTGTATTTATTGAGCATCTAGGAAGTGGGCAATGCTATAATTAATGACTTAATTATTATCATGTACTGCCTTTTCAGCGTGTTACAGGGTTTGAAGTTGGTCACCAGTCTGAGCATAGACAGTTACATAGTATACCTTTATTATCTATATAGGAAAATGAAATCTAGAGAAAACAATAGAATTAAGAACATTATCATGCTCGAGTTAGCAAACTGAAGATTATAAGGCATGGTTTCTTTTGCTTTAATGCCTTAAGATTTTAGCTCTCTCTTCCTTCCTTCCTTCCTTCTCCCTTTCTTTCTTTCTTTCTCTTTTCTTTCTTTCTTCCTTCCTTCCTTTCTTTCTTTCTTTTTCTTTTTTCTTTCTTTCTTCTTTCTTTCTTTCTTTCTTTCTTTCTTTCTTTCTTTCTTTCTTTCTTCTATTGAGGCTTGAGAGGAAAATCACGGATTGTTTTAAATACAGAAGCAAGGGATATTTCATAAAATGGTTGGATTTCTTTGTTTAGAATCTGTGTTGCTAACATCAATTTGCACCTTGTTTCCTCCCAATATTCACAGCGATCAGATGGCAGACGGCTGTCCTTAGATGATTCTAGCTATATTAGGAAATAATGTGCTTGCTTGAACAAAATGGCTCCTTTGTTTTCAATAACACAGCAGTGAAAATCTGTAAGAAATGATGATGTTTGATTTATTAATTTAATCCAATGGTAGTAAAGTTCGATTATCTCCTTCTCTGTGTAGGTTTCAAATTAAAAACATTTTTTTAGAAAGGCTAACCAGACTAAAGTTACACCACAATGTGAACACATTCCTCACTTACCATTTGCATGTGCTATTTTTAGACAAGGAGCGAGAAAAGCCTGGAACGTAAATCGTCCTGGAATTAAAAGAAGTAATTTACAGGAATCAGAGACATCATCTACTGTAGAAACTGCAGTGTGTCCTTTGTAACTTTTAGGGGAGAAATTCCATTTTTCTTTCCCTTGAATACTCGGAGAATGATTTTCAGTTGAGATTTGGCTGAAGGTCTGAAAGAGAGGATGACATTATCCACGATCTCCAAAGTTGTCCTGGACCCGCCATATTGTGCTTTCTGCACGTAAATGCTACAATGTAGCTCATGTAGGGTGTCTTGAAACGCCAGGCCAGGGTTGTGTTACCGAGATCACAGAGAACACCCAGAGAAAGAAATGGGAAGATGGTGCTTTATTATATTCGCAGTCTCTGGTGGGTGGGGCCCTCGTCGTCATCTTGGGAAGAGATCACACAATTATCTTGCAAAGCCTAGGTCTGAACGCGACGTTCACGGGTTAGAGTGACACTCGGATGCCGTATTTGCACGCCGTGCTCGGACCTGCCTCAGTGACTGCCCTGTGCATAAGCGTGGGCAAAGCTCACTGCACCCAAAACCCGATGACATGCCTCACTTCTAAAATCGCCTGGCGCGTGCTCCTTTTCGTCGTCAACGGTGCAAATAAAAAGCAAAAAGAAGGGAAGGCAGAAAAGGAGACGGGGAGAACAAAGCAGGATAAATGATTCAAATTCCTCTCCCGGAGAAAAATCGGGAACCTCCCTGATTACAGAACCACCGTGGATGTGCAGTTCTGTGGCTCAAAACCATAAACAGTTGGGCCATTTCACTGTGGGCCATTTTATATGCCCAAATATAAAATGCAAAAAGTGCTACCCCACGGGAAACCCATCGCACCCTAAGAATAAACCCGGGGCCACCTCTTTACGTTTTCAGGATTCTCAGAACATGTTTGCCTGCAGCCTCGCGCGATCCTGACAAGAGAATCAGAAATCCAGTAGGGGCTGAAAAACGTAGGATCTGTTTTCCTACAATATGTAAATACTGGCATTTTGTACAAACAAATCACAGCCCGTTGGGTCAGGAGTTTTCTAGTTTCTTTTCTTTCTTTTTTTAAAAAATATTTTCATCCATTTGAGAAGCAATGTGGAGCTGTAGATATTTAATTATTGGCTATTCACTTAATGAATAAACTCCCCGTCCTTAATAACACATGAAAATTATGGCATCGTGCTGATTCCTCCAAAGACCTCCCTTTATGGGCGATCTTATCATATCAGTGCCTTGATTTAACAGTGTAAACAGCAGTATTGGATATTCGGAATTAAAAATTGCACTCTGATACCTCAGTTTTTTAGATTGGTGTCTCTGCATCACCCAGATAGTGCAGGTGATGACCAGGTACAAACTGACTTCACTGCCAAAAACAGTTCTGAGTATCTACTATGTGCCGGGCATGCTTTAGATGTTAATGGTTGCAAAAGACACAAGAATTCCTAATTTTGGGACAAGTGTCTACTTGGAGGCAGAATACGGACTCCCCCAAGGTGTCTCCATCCTAATCCCTGGAACCCGTGACTCTGTGACCTTCCATGGCAAAGGGGAATGAATTTAGCTTGCAGGTGGAATTAGATTTGCTCATCAGCTGACTTGACGATAAAGGGAGCGTATGTTGGATTACCTGGGTGGGCCCAGTATTTAAGAGCAAAGACCCTCAATTAGGGAACAGGGAGACACAAATCATCAGAGCTCGTGAGCAACAGTAAAGACACAACTAGCCTCCCTGGCTTGGAGGATACCAGGAGGCGAGGAGTGTGGGCCGCTTCTAGATGCTAGAAAAGACCAGGAAATAGATTCTCCCCGAGGGCCCCAGAAAGATGCCCGGCCACTCTTGCCACGTTGATTTTAGCCCCATGCAACTCTGAGCTACAAAACTGTAAGGTAGCTCCCTTTGGCTGTTTTGGGAAGCAGCGACATTTGTGAGGGTGTGTTAAAATCCTAATTGAAATGCAGTCAAGTCTCTACCCTAATTGAAAACAAAGAAATCGCTGAAAACGTTATTTTGTTGTGAGCCTTCCGAACGCCTACCCTTTCTGAGACTCTTCTTGGCTTCCCTTTCAACCTCAAGTATTATTGATAGAAAAACACTCTTATCTTAATGCTGGGTGGTTAAAATGTGCTGCTTCCCGCTTGGGTAGCAAGAAGACAATACTCGCCCCAGTTTGTGGGCAGACACTTGGCAGATTTGAGGCATTAAATGTGCACACATGCAACCTTTTTGTCCACTGGGTTATTACAGCGTCAGGGAAAATCCTACTAAATGCCATATTTAGGAAATAACGACGATTTTACATAGGGACGTAATAAAGGGACATTTAAATTTACCCAGGCACCTAAAACGAATTTCCAGAGTCAGTGTCCACGGAGGACCTACAGCAAAGCATCCAAGTTGTCCTCTTAGGTCTTAAAGCTACACCTCTCAGTGGCTTCTTGTCCTCTTTGCACCTACGCTGGCTAAATATTTTGGGCTCCCCACTCTTCCTGTCTAGACCTCAAGATCTGATCTGTTCTGGGCAGAGTGACTCTTTTGTTTTGTTTTCTTCAAGCTTTTTAATGTAAATTTGGTTCACTCCTCCTGCTGAGCTTATAGGAATAGCTCTAAGAACATGCCTGCTTGGGTTAAAAATGCCATCTTGTCCCCTTACCAGCCGAGGGACTGTAGGCAGCGTCCTTGGCTTGTTTTGCCTCCCATTTCCTTCTGTGTCTGATTGAGAAGTGCGGGGAGGTTAAGGCATTCATCCACGTAGAGTGCTTTACCCTCGTCTCCTGCACATGTGACCTCTCTCTAGTCCTGTATTTGTGGAACATAATTAATCGTCAAAAAGGGAACCAGAATGTATCAGCGAAATTGCATGTGTACATGGGGTCTAATATAAATATCAGCCCCATGCATAATACATGTTTCCTGTCTAGAACATAATTATTTACTGCATTCGTGCAGGGATCAGCTTAAGGAATAAGACCAAGGGACCATCATTTCTGCCAGGACTGAGTATGGCTTTAATAAAAGGGAATTTAGAGGGAATACAATTTTTTTTCAAAGAGCAGAGAATTATTCTGCTCTGCTTTATTCCTAAGCTCTGTCTTTTTCAGCCTCAGTTGTGAAATGAATTTCCAGCATCTTATGTGAGTTACAGAAATTAATCATCGAGAAAGCATTAAAATTCATTTCTTGGGAGAGTGCCTTAGAACATCCAAAGACAATAATACTCTTTTTTTTTTTATGTGAGATAAAGGAGAAATTAATTTCCTTTCTCTTCTCATCAAGTCACAGATAGTCCAAGTGTATGTAGATACTGGCAGAATCCAGGTGACAAAGTAAAACTTAAGTGAGTTAACACAGTGAGACGGACGTTTTAACCAATCCGCATCAGCATGCAACGACGTGAAAACAATTCGGTGATTGCCGTTTCCATGTGTCACCTGGATGTTTGACGTTGCGTAGACGTAGCTTGTGAGGGAAGATAATTATGAAAGATGATTGAACAAATATCTCCCTGACAGCGATTCATTGAAAGGAATTTAGTATTTTGTGAAGACGGTTCGACTGGAGTGGATTTCTGAAAACATGCATTTTTCCATCAGCTCAGAAGATTTTGCCCACTTGAACATAGAATCATACCCTTACTGAGGGTTGAGCAATCGTGTATGTTTAGAAAATACTATTTGGATAGTGTGAATTATACTTGTTTGGAAAATAGAGCAAAATCATTCCCTAAAAAGAGACTTATCCCTTACTTTCCATCAGATGGACTGTAACTCCATCCCATTTGCAACTTAGATGTTTCTCACAATTAGAACAAGTCTCAATTATGTAAAATGTGTTAAGAACCCGACTCCCCATATGGTGCATATCATAAACGATATTGCAAAAAAACGTCTAAGATGGGAACTGGGCACGCGACTGGTCTGCTAGAATCTGTCCGTTTCCAACAATTTGCTCATTATTTTCTTGCATACTCTTGCTTACGGGACACCGAAGAGCTTTATTTGTTGCCAACTGACACCGCTAGTTTGGACACGGCCATTTATTTTCCATATTGTCTTGGCTGAGACGATATTGGCTCAATATTTAGTGACCTCGGCTATTAGTAATAATAACACTCCTGGTATACCTCCTCCGAATGTTGTTTAGGGTTATAGCAATTTTGGAGTAAGCCGCTGGATCATTATAAATTATGAGTAACAATATAATTATAGAAATAATGGTGAGATGGAAAAGGTCAATATGTTATACATTTAACTTCATGTGAATTTTAATACGAATCTCCTTACATGACCGTTTACTGGAAGATCCCGTTTCTCGGGTACGGTGGTCCGGAGTAGGTCCCTGCCTTCCTACTGTGTGTTTTGGTTCTAAACCAGGCTGTTTTCACACTGGATTTGTGTCACGTTCCTCCTCTGTGTGTAAGAACACTTGTCCTTGGTGCATTGACCTATAAACTGTAGCAAACACGGACAGAAGGAGAGATTTCCTTAGCTTTGGATTCGAGGACCACAGAGGGTGTGTGAGATGCAAAACAGTGACCCTACGTAAATAAATCAGACCCACAGATCATACACGGAACTCACAGGCGACAACGGGGTGGGGGGAGATAGTCTGAGTGATCTATTCCCCTACTAATACTTGTTAAGGAAGATGAGGAGTCTCTATTTTGTTAATTCAATCAGATATTCTATATTTCTTTTCAGAGAAATAGGTTTCCACAAACGTGAAGCAGATTTCTTAAAAAATGGGAAAAAATTCCTATTAGATTTCTCTTTGGAAAAGATATTTGGAGAGTGAAGGTATATTGTGTGTGTGTGTGTGTGTGTGTGTGTGTGTGTGTTTGTATAAGGTGTTGGAGGAAAGCCAACGAGAGAGATCCACAGTTCAATTAAGATCAAATGTGTTACGATTTTTGGGAAAGTCTACTTGAACAGAGGAATTCCTATACTGTTCTGTCCTCTCTAAAATCCCAAGCATTCTGATGTCCCAGCTCAGCAGAACGCCCTCTTGTCTGCTGGGAATGTGGTCCTGAGCACAATACTCAACAAGTCTGCCCTGGGGCATGGGACAGGGTGGTGTTCCCATCAGAAAGGGAAAGAACACAGAAAGTTTTTAGTCTTTTCAAGCAAAGGAGCTTTTGTGGTACATTTCCACAAGATAGGAAAATGCTCATTAACCCTCTTTCTTCCTTAAATGGATGCCTTCAGCTACATTCTGCTCCATCTCTTTTGGGACCTAATCATCACTCCACCCAAAAGTGATCATCCAGTATTCCCCTAACATCCCATCCACCTGCTGTGCGTTGACTTTACTCCCACCTCAAGCCACGCCATCTATTGATCTCCTGACCTCAGCTCTGATTCTTTGTGTTTTCTTCCCTCTTTCAACCTGCACTCTCCTGAGAGCCCTTTTATCTGACTCATTTAAACATTATTGATTTGAAAAAAAGATAAAAAAATAAAAATTATTGATTTGAAAAATGACTCTTTGCACTTACCCCACACAAGACATTGGACCAGTCCAACTGGGGATAACAAGGAAATGTAAGCTCTTTGCTTGGAAAATGAATGAGCCCCAACAAAAGTCGAGGTTCAGAAAGTGGTCAGAAGAATTCAGAGAGTTCTTTAGGATTTCAAGAAAAAAAAAAAAAAAAAGGCAGGTAATCTGTGAGTTGATGTTTTCCGTTGAGGATCCACGATGGAAAGTTTTCCACCAATCCTGACATGAATACACAAGGAATACATACTTATGTTGTGCAGCGAGGAAATGGTTTCTGAGCCTCCCAAAGTAAGCTCCTTGTTTATTGCTTCTCTAGATGGGCCAAGACATAAAAAGTGCAAAAATGGGACGGAAGGAGAGATAAAACCTAACAAAACGATAGAAAGGTGCACTGATACTATAATCTAACATGCAAAGCACCCACTTGGGTGTTTTTTGCAGGGTTTTCA